TCTTTTCCTGCCACTCCTGTGTCAGTAGTTTAGATGCAGTGACAGAGTCTTCCATGGACATGCTAGGGCACAGCCCTTTGTTAAAATTTCCTCTGAGAAAGGGCAGATCTGAATTCCAAGTATCATCTCTGTCAGATTCCTTATTGCTACCGTTTCTTCCCCTGGGAAGAAAAGCTGTCAAGCATCCTTAAATGGAAGAAGAGAGCCTCTTTTCATTTAAAAATAAAATAGCTTATTTTCAGATATAGATAGGGTACTTTCTTTAAAAAGCTGTTGCTGTGAATAATGGCCATTTCACTGCCAAATGTATGTTTTGATCTTTCAGATTACAAACAGAGTGTGACTGCGCACAATCCCAGACTCATCTCAGTTTCTTGTTGCTCATTATGAGATGGAGTCTTGCTCTCTCACCCAGGCTGGAGTGCAGCGGTGCAATCTCAGCTCTCTGCAACCTCTGCCTCCCAGGTTCAAGCTATTCTCCTACCTCAGCCTCCTAAGTAGCTGGAACTACAGGCGTGCACCACCGTACCTGGCTAATTTTTGTATTTTCAGTAGAGATGGGGTTTCGCCATGTTGGCCAGGCTTGTCTCGAACTCCTGACCTCAGGTGATCTGCCCGCCTTGGCCTCCCAAATTGCTGAGATTACAGGAGTGATCCACCATACCCATCCTCAGGGCCACTTCTGCATCCATATAAAAATAGATTTAATAAACTCATGATCTCTGGGGCTTGTTTTGTTTGCATTATTTGGCTTTCTTTATGCCTTATTACATTTGTCTCTTCTCGTACCTACCTGCACTTCCTTTCTTTCTATTAAGATTCACCCTTCTTACTGCTCCATTTCCAGTATTGTTTCTTCTGTTATCTTTTTTCTTGTCTTCTTAAAAGAATAAAAACTCTTTGGGGTTAAAAAAATATTTAAGCAGACCTTCCAAGTACTTTTGGCTTCTCACCGAAAATGATGTATTTAAGAGGCAGACACAACAAAATTACATATAACATTAGTGTGAACAAAGCATCAAGGGCTGAAGTTCAATTTCTATTTGCAGTCCAGTGCCCAAGTATTGGAGAGAATGGGGCATCTAAGGACAAGTACTTAACCTCGCTTTTGACTTGGGTATAGGGAAGAAACACTTCGCATAGTATGTTATTGAAAAATGTACTTTGATGGGTGTCTGCAGTAGATAATAAGATCTTTGTGTTATCATTTTATTACCAGAATGAAAAGATCAACTGGATATTAGTTATCACCAATTTTTGTGTAGATAAAAATGGAAGGCAATAAAAAGTGCAAAATGTCAACCACTGGCACTTAAGCCATATTAGATTGCTTTGATCAGGCTGCCATTTGGGAAGCTACTTAAAATGACAGGAGGAAATTTCTGAGGGCTGGAGCTTGTTAACATAAAGTAAATATTTAGTTCAGAGTCGCTACTTGATGCCTGAGAGCAGAAAACTGTAAAAGGGAGTCTTTTGCCTCTGCCTTCATACAGCAGTCACTTGATTTGTGGAATTCTGCCAGTCATTGCCTGTCAGTGACTTGTGCTATCCACCTGTCTAGGATAGAAGTTGCTCAAGGAATAAGGACAAAGTAGAAATATACAAAACAGAGGTCTCGTTGATTTTGTTGTTTTTTCTGTTTTGTTTTACTTAAAGTATATGTGAAGGAAATGAAAAGAAAGTTTATAAATAATTATTTTCAGCAAAAATCTAAAAAAAAAATTGCATGTAAAATGTAAAGAATGAACATAGATTTCTGACAGAAAACAACTAAAAACAGGCAGAGTATTGGCACATGGCAATGGGTCTTTAGAAAAATATCAAAATTGAGGCCAGGTGCTGTGTCTCATGCCTGTAATGCCAGCACTTTGGAAGCCGAGGTGGGTGGATCACCTGAGGACGGGAGTTCTAGGACCAGCCTGACCAACATGGTGAAACCCCATCTCTACTAAAAATACAGAAAAGCTAGCCAGGCATGGCGGCAGGTGCCTGTAATCCCAGCTACTTGGGAGGCTGAGGCAGGAGAATCGCTTGAACCTGGGAGGCGGAGGTTGTGGTGAGCCAAGGTCATGCAATTGCACTCCAGCTGGGGTGAAAGAGCAAGACTCCGTCTCAAAAAAATAAATAAATAAATTGGAATAAAAATACATGGAAGCCCATTTAAATTATCCACATGTTTAAACTTATGAGAATTATAAAGAATAATACAGCTTTTATTTCATATTTAGATGGCTACGTGGATTAGGCAACAGAATGATATGGTGAGTGGTTGAAAAGTAGATGACTTTGGTCTATTTTAGTGAATAATTAATCTATTGATTGCTTATATGCAAATATAAAATGCTATGATGTTCTAAAAATTATTCTTTTGTGCAGATTAAGAATGCAAGTTGAAACCAAGCACAGTTATTAATTTCTTCACTTTAAGCATTTCCTTATAAATACTGCAAAGACTCTCAAAGTAATGCAACATTCTTGAGTGTTGACCAGATTGATCAAATTATTTTCAATTGTTGAGAGTCGGCATTATAACAATTGCCTAGGTAAAAAGTATTATGAAATCCAAGAAAGTTTTAGAAGAAACATTCTAAACTTTGACTTATTAGTTTCTCTGAAAAGGGAGTTTATTTTATACAAATATCCCCAAATCTAAGAGATCACAACATGTTGGTCAGATGTTTTTCTTTGCTGGGTTGTTATGAAGAGCCGTTTCTAAATATACCCACTTCCTCCATTGTTTTGAGTTTCTTCTCTTCCTTCCTTTCCTGCCCTCTTCTATCCCTTCCTCCCTCCTTTTCTTCCTTTCTTCTCTCTCTTTCTTTCTGTCATCCCTTTCACTAACTGTATACTCTCTATATGTTGTATATTCAACTTTCCTAGAAAGAGAATCTAGTGAATCCATTACTTATCCTTGTCCCGCTGGATAAATCTTTCAATTCAGGTCACCCCATAAGGTACTCACTAGATGTTAGTTTTAGTGGCAACTGATCCAATTGGTGTATCCAACTGGATCCACTGTTGATCCAAATAGCTGTCATTAGAGTAGAGGCCACATGATTCACTCTCCTCAGAGCAGATGTAGGAGCAGCAAGCTTTCTACGCAAGTATCTTTTCTATATGTTGTCAGACTGAATTTTTTTTTTCAGTTTAGCTATAAAATACCCGTGAGAATTACAATCTGTTCAACATATTACTGGCTAACATATGGTACATAAGTCAAGTGGGCAAGGCTCTTTAAATCATGAGACGATCAAAGAATTTGGAAATTGAAATGTTCTGTGTGCTCAGAACTCTTATCTACTTCTTTTACTTATTATTAATGTGAGCAAAAAGCAAGATGGATAAGAAATGCATTATGAAAACAGTTTTCCTGAAGATAAGTAAGAAATACTAAACGGCTAAATTACTTTATTTTTAGTGTACTGAAAATTGGATTGTTTATTATTACTTGCTCTTTGAATGCATCATTCATACAATTGTGGAAATTCTTCACTCTCCAATTGCACTTCCCAGGAGATCAGTCTAAATACAGACTCGAAATATTTTATGCATAGTACTATTGAAATAAATTAAATTTCAAAGACAATTGCTTTTTTCTACAGATAACTGTTATAGTTAAAATTGCTTTTGAAATGTACGATTTAAGGTATGAGTTAACAAAATCCCTTTTTAAATGTTGCTTATGAAGAATGTAGGTTTCTAGTGAAATGCACCCATTAAATGTTCAGATACATGGATAATTCAACCAGCTTTGAAATCAGGAAGTTTCCAATGTAAATAAGCGTGAACTTCTATAGAACCTAAAAAATTCTAAAATGTTTTACATTTTGGTAGGTACAAAGGAAATAGTTTATGCATGTAAACATTAAAGCCAAAATATTATAGAACATACTAAAATGACATGACTTAAAGTTGTTTTTACAGATTTTTCATGAATTATAAAAGTTTCTAGTAAAAGAAAATGTAATATAAATTATTTAATCCAATAATGCAGGTGTTCTCTTATTATTCAGACATATTCACCTAACAGTATTGAAATAGGCAGATAAATATGGAGTTAGAACATTATGATGAGTACAATAAATTAAAATCGTAGAAACCCCGTACGATAAATTCTGTTTAATAAATCAACTGAGAAATTTTATACTGCTAAAAATAATATATTAATAATCAAGTAATTCTTCATGCAATCAATTAAGTAAAATTAGAGTAATCAGTATCTCCTATTTTTTTTTGAGTTATCAATTATGGAACAGGCAAGGGACCATCATAACAAAATTGCTTTTCTATTATGTTTCTGGAAGTATATCCCTCTAAATGTTTATAGTATCTGCTGTTTTAGTTTTTTGTTTCTGTTCATCATCTATAATTTCTACAATATTCTTCTTTGCTTTTTTGATTAAAAAAAACAAAAGTGGATAAAAGATAATTTAAACCAATTCCGCCAATATTTAGGATAAAGCTACACTAGATCATGTATTTGTAATATGTCATGTATATTTTAAATTAATTTACAGGCTAAATTACCTACTAATTTTGACTACTAAAATAGAGTGAATATCTTTCAAAACAACATTTTGTTCCTAATTAGAAATAACATTCATATTTGGAGGCTAAAGGAAACAGAAGATGTGTAAAACTAGGCTAGGATTTCAGTTTTCACAGAAAAGTTTTATTAATGTTTTAAATGCCCTTACAGCACATAATACTTGGCACATTATGACTTAATATATAACACATTGTATAATATGTATAATATGTGCTTTTTTAAAAATATAGAGCCATGGTATAGGAATGTTTTTCCACCCTGTTCTCTTATTTTAGCAATATCTTGTAACATTAGGTCCTGTCTTTGATTAAAACATACAATATTTTTAAATGTAATCTATTGCTTCTCTTAGATTTTATGCCAAGGTGATATAAAGCAATTCCAGGTCACTGAGCCAGTTGAAGTAACATATAATAGGGAGGAAAAATATGTGTAACAAAGGTAGTTATACCATGATTCTTCAGTGATCTCAGATTTTTCAGATGATAACTTGTTGGGAACATCTGTGAACAAGATCATGAGAAATAAACCAGATTTGAATAGCCACATATGACAGGATGCTTCTAGATGTGTTAGTGTAAGTTATCGTCATTGACTGTAACCTACTAATAGAAAATCTAACATAATCTTACCTTAAGAAGATCAACCAGGAACAGACACAGAGACATAACTCAACACTTCTTCCTATCAGTGGTTTGACCAGCTCCAAGGAACCTTCACACACTGTCTCTTCAAATAAACCAAGTTAATTTGGCCTAAGATTTAATTATTGTTATTGTTGGACAATTGCCATTTTAGAACATTTCCTGGAGCATGAGGTGAGCCATTCATTTCAGAAGACATTTTTCCAAAGATACTTCAAAGAATTAATTCCAAGTTTTTTCAGTTACTAAAATAAATGGTGAAAGAGAATCATAGCTTTCAAGCTACTAACTAAAAGCTAGCTTAATAAATAAGCCAGTGATGATTAAAGAAAACGATTATGTTAGCACTATCATTACAATCTTAAAATTCAAATAAAGAAGGATTTAGCTAATAATTATATCATTGCTTAGAAAAAAATATATTGCATTCTAATTTTCACATGATGAATGCATTATCATAATCATGTACAGTTTGTCCATAGCCTTCATTTGAACAATCATTGTGTAAAGAAACAAAAAGAAAGCAAGACACATGAGATGCTACCATTCATCAATTGTCACATTTCTTAGAGTGTATTTTCTTTAAGCAAATAGGTTCATAAAGTTGACAATACTGAGAAATATATTTCTAAGCATTATAATTACTTCCCAGTAAAAAGAAAGGAAGAGAAAATATATAAACTTAATAAAGGCAGAAACTTAGATTTTTTTTTCTCTAATATGCTTCTTACTTTTGAAAAAGTTTATACTAGAGTATCCCAAAAATACTGAGGATGAACTAAATTTTTTGAATTCAGTCATGTACTTAATAATATTCAGCTACCCTTATTTTAAGCAGAAATGGAAAGTAAAAGGTAAATTCACTGACTTTGAATTATGAAAAAATGTACATCCTTCTTGACCTCATAAAAATGAATGCTATAACTATTACAGTGGTGCATTTAGACATGGAATGACATATTTAATTTTTAAAAATTGCATTTGTGACTATAATCCATGGCTTTTTTTATGGAATATCAGTTTACATTCTGTAAATATCCAAATGCTCAGGACCCATATGCTTTTTGATTTTTTTCAGACAACTTCGCATTGTGTATGTATTTCATAAAATACATTAAATGAGTATCACTATAAATCAGTATAACCCTTTTCTTTCACACTACACCAACGCTGAATATATTTTCAGTTTTTAATGCTTACTTAAAAGCAAATTGAACTATTTAGTATTCAAGTTTATATCTGCTAGCTGTCCTAATATGTGATAAGCATCCCTTGGAATTTTGGAATTGACCTTTTGAAAAAAATAAAATCACAGTCTAATTGTTACTTTCATTATATTAGGCTTGTTTTATTATACTTCTTAAGCTTGCCAGATGAGCTAGATTAGATTTGAAGATTGCTAGTTTTAAAACTTTTTTTCTAGAAATATATTTATTTAATTTGTGTTCATTTTTGCTGTGTTGTAAATGTAATTATATTCTTAAAAAGTAAATCATGATTCTTAAAATGTATGTTTTTCTCACTGAAAAATATTTACATAAGAGATATTTATCCTTGTCTGTCATAAATGGGTACAATCAATGACAAAGCTACAGAGGCTAAATGTTTCTTAGTAGATGATTTTAACCTTGTTTATTTGTTTGCATAAGCAATGATATTTAGGACAGAAAAAATAGAGCAGGAGGTGAAACATCGAGAAATATTGAAATTTATTTTGTAGATAATAGAATAAATTTGGTATCATTTAGGAAAATGGCAGAAAAGTCTCTGGAGGGTGTTTCCAACAACTCTCCAAGGTCACATCCACTTGAGGAACAGATGTATGTTTTCTTATAATTAAATACTCATTAAGTTTTGAGTTCCCCCAATTCCTAAGCCAACAGTTTCCTTTGGACTCGGAAGTTACTGACTGCTGACCTTAGGTCATTTTGTTCTACTAGGCTGTATGCATCACTAAGTTTATTTTCAGTGTAACTGAGCGAAAAGACTGTCCAAATAGTTATCCAGATAACTAATTTACTCAAGTTCTCCAACTGTAGGGGTTACCAAATTCCATCCTGCTAAATATTAAAACAAGAGGACAGAGTTTTCTTTTTATTTACATTTCATAGTGAATGGAGGCATTAAAAGATGGAGTTATTTTTCATCAACAACTTGGCTTAATTTAATATCAAGGGATGTTTCATCTACTGTTAAAAAAATGTCCCACAAAGTTTACACAAATAAACCCATTCAACAAATACTTAGTGAATGACCATTATGTTCAAGGCACTGAGCTACATCATATTTTCTCTGAGACTGTAAACTCATTGAGGAGAAGATAATAATGACAACATAATACTGATGATAGTTACTATTATCACTACTATAATTGAAAGCTTACCATAAATGAGATTATGGTAAGCTTTTTGAGTTATTAAGATGCATTAAACCTTTGATTAAAAGTAGTTTTGAGTTATTAAGGTGCATTAAACCCATTTGCATTGTTTGTAGTATTAGCTTATGAGATATATGAGGATCCTGAGGCATGCAGAAAGTAAGAAGGTTGCTCAAGGTCACACAGCTAATAACTTGTAGAACCAGGATAAAACTCAACAGTCTGTGGGTCAAGAAATAAATGCAATGTAATTAGTCAGCACATGACTAATTTCTCCAGTGGATTTTTAAAAGTTTGTAAAATGTCTTTTTTTCTGTTATTAGTGTTCATTTTTGAAAAACAAACATCAAGCTTAATGTCTGACTTTATATCATTTAATCAAAGTACTTTTTAACTGGGGATGCGTATTTCTAGTATTTTTAGCATAAATAAATGTGTCTGTCCTTAGGACTCTATCTCTTTGCTTATTAAAAAAAAAAAAAGGAGACAAGTATCTCTTTATAAGGACACTGAATAGTTCTCAAGGGTATATCCTTGGCTAAATCGAGGAGCACTTGAGGAGGAATAGAGAAGAAAAGAGAGAGGAGTTACATGGCTCGGCAGGTAGTTTTGCTTCCTGGTTCTGAGGGTTATTGGTGTATCACCAAGCCCAGATCGTGAATGGCACCAGGCCTGGCCAGCAAGACAAGCCTGAGACAGCTTCTCTGATACCCCAGAGGCCATGTCATTAAGTGCAGACACTATGGGGAAGGTGATTCAACCATGCTTCTCACATAGATACAGGAAGAATTTTGCCTCCAGCCTTGTCTGCTCATTCCTGAATGTAGAATTTACTAAAGGAAGCATCAAAAATAAATAAGTGCAAAACTTACACTCCTAATAAGGACTGGCTTCAACAGCATACAATTTATGCAGTCACGCAGCGCCATATGCTAAGAAGGGCCCTGTGTTTGCGTTAATGCTCTACTGGTACCATCTTGAAATTCTTAATTTTGAATAAGGACTCCACATTTTTCTTTGCACTGGCCTCTCAAATTACGTGGCTCATCATGCCTCTAGTAATGTTAAGAGGCAGAAAAAGGACAATTTAGAAGTGTCATTTACATGTCTAAATTTAATTTGTAATTGGATGTTTTAGCTGATTCTTGTGAAAAATTAAAACAAACAGGTTTCACTTGCAACTCAATACCTAAAAATTGAGAAGGATAAAATAGAGACCTGTAATGAGGAGTTAATCTCCTTTGAATTTTTTTAACTGGAGGAAAGATTATTTTAAAACCAGAAAGTAATGCTAAAGTCAAATAGTAGGCCGAAGGTGTCATAATTACAACCTGGGAAACATATCCTCTCATCATTTGTAGGTAGGAAGTACTGCTGCCAGCAACCATGACTCAGGCATCAAGCAGTGGTAGCTCCTGCTTCTGTTTCTATCTTCTCATCATTGTCACAATGACAATGCTTGCTTCCAGCTTCTCACAGGTCCTGTCACACTCCAGAGACTACTGTCCCCAAAGTCAACTGCCAAATAAAACTTGTTAGTACCTGGAAAAGTTGATATAGGTAGAAACCTAATTACCTAATTTTAAACAAAGGTGCATGCAGTCTCTCTCTCTCTCTCTCTCTCTCTCTCTCACACACACACACACACACACAGAGCAAGCATTTAATGAATGTTTCTACTGTAAATTTGCAGAAAAGGAAAGGAACCTAATTTATCCTACATTTTATAAGTAGAAGGACTTTGCAATTGATTTGTGTCAATTGATTTGTGTCATTTAAAGCAGCATTCTCCAAACTTTCTGGCATGAGGGACTGGTTTCATGGAAGACAATTTTTCCACAGACAGGAGTGATTTCAGGACAATTCAAGTGCATCACATTTATCATGCACCTTATTTCTATTACTATTTCATTGTAATATATAATGAAATCATTATATAACTCACCATAATGTAGAATCAGTACAACTAGATTTTGTTTACCGGCAACTGGAGAGTCCCATCTGAGGGTAATGGGAGACAGTGACTGATCATCAAGCATTAGATTCTCCTAAAGAGCATGAAACCTAGATTCTCGCATGTGCACTTCACAATAGGGTGTGCATTTCTATGAGAATCGGATGCCACTACTGATCTGACATGAGATGCAGCTCAGATGGTGATACGAGCAATGGAGAGCAGCTGTAAATACAGATGAAACTTCTCTGGCTTGCCTGCTGCCCACCTCCTGCTGTGCGGCTTGGTTCCTAACAGGCTATGGACGGTACCTGTCTGTGGCCTCGCAGATGGGGAGCCTGGGCTTAAAACCTTTAAAAATTGCTTTTAGTTGTTTCTTAAGAAAACAAACAGCAGTAAAAGAGTTAGGACAATTAGCATTTTTAAGGTTATGTTAGAGTTAATGGCAATATCAAATCTAAAACTCAGGTTCCCTCACACTTAAATTCTTGAGTATGTTTCTGTTATTATTTCTTTAATATGCAATGCAAAATTTACGGGAAAGGATATTTTAAATTGTCTGTACATGTTTATCTTACAGGGTCTTGAACACTATAGGTCTCAAGCTAGCTCCCGGTTTTAATGAAGCTTTATTGAAACACAGCCACTCCATTTGTTTACATACATTCTATGCTTGCTTTTACATTGCAGTAGTAAAGTTGAAGAATTGCAATGGTGAACACATGGTCGGCAAAGACAAATATATTTACACTCTGGCCCTTTACAGAAAAAGTGTTTTGACCTCTGACTTATTAGAATGTAAGTTCCTTTGACTGTAACTTGGATATTCCCAATTCTGAGATCGGTACTTGGTACAAAATAAATTTTAAACAAAATTAATAGCATATGGGTGCCATGGAACTCAGAATAAGTAAGTAGCTAAATGGCATAAACAACAGACACAATATGGACCATTCAGTTTTAAAATTTCATAATTCTCAGATGCTATGGTACTGTAACTTCTCTTCCTAATTCAATTTCCAGGTGCTGTAGGTCTAAATATATTGAACAGGCATGTATAAATATAGAACCAATTTATACGTATAAGGTGATTCTAGTCTTTTAAAAAAAATTCCTGCCTGCCCATCATCTGTGCAGTTTGTTAGGTGATGGATTTGCAGAAATACCCATCAAAATCTTCATGCTTGATAAATGGTTTAATTGAGCAAGTCAGATTGCCACTGAAATAACTAGGTAGAATTTTAAAATAGAAATTACAATGAATATGTAAGACAAATAAAGGGAACTTCAGAACCACACCAGGGTATATATACTATAAGCAGGGTACCTCATAAAGATGGTTCACTTATGTAGTTAACCTCTTTAAAATATATGCACCACTAGAGGGAGATAGCTACCTAAAGGGTATATAGAGATGCAGTGAGTTTAAGCTTGTGGCACACACATCTAAGAGTTTAAAAATCCAAATATAACTGCTATTTTTTTTTTCAAGTTTCTGTACAGCCACATCCACCTTTCAGTTCCAGAGGCATCTGCCAGTTTTGTCTCTTAGAGGTCTTTGCTTGCATTGAATGAAAGGGTCTCCGCTTTGTTTCATTCTTCTCTATTGCTCTTCACTATCTTTTCCCTCCACATTCATAAACCAGTATAAATTGTTCACGAGATATTTGCACACTAGGCTTTCTAGCAAAAAGGATCCAAATGTAGTATCATGTACATCTTATTTTAACCCCGAGATTATTAAGCAAGTCATTATTGAAATATTTCAGGTTCTCTTGTAAATGTATTTTACATTTATTTTTATATTTAGGGTGAATGCTTAGGAATTAAACAACCAAACACAAATACTGTGAAATCTCAGGTTAAAATGACGACTGTTCCAAAGAATTTGACTTTGGGAGTCTTAATTTCAAAATGCTAGACTATGCAATGTGCCTGTTCAAATAAAAATTGTGGATGTTTCTTTCAATATACATTTTTATATAATGTATAATATATTTGGCTGTCAATCATTTTTTAATGGTAGATCCTTTGGTGGTTTGCAGAACTCATGCACTGTTATTTTCCATATTTTCCATAAAAAGGAGGGAAAGTAAATTAATATTCATTGAGATTACACAAAGTGCAAAGCACCAAACACA